CCGATTAGCTTTAAAATTACCTGCCAAATTTAGTCCACTTAAAATGAATATGAAACGGTTTCTAGAAATCCAAAATCTTGTCATCATTGTTTAGAAAGTCATTGGAAAACCTCGGACACCCAATATTAAACGTATTGGACAATGCCTTACCCCCAAAAATTTCCCCTGAAAGTCACTGAAAATCTTTTTGTGACGTCACAAAAAGATAAATTTGTACTGCGAGGAGAGGGAATGTTGAGGTTATTTGCCAATTTACACAATACAGTGATGGTTAATAGCTAATCCGCTTTACATTTTTGTTCCTGGATATGTATTTCATCGTAAATGATTAAAATTTGGCTATATATTTCTCAAATTATTTTTTAAAGTCCATTTTTAATGTTGTTTTTACGACTGTCTTTTTACGATTTGGCAGCCATATGCCTCGGAAGATAGGCACACGGATGTAATTACACGCATGCGTGAAATTTGGTGAAATCCACAATACACAAGTTTTTAGCAAGGAAGAATTTCAAGCAGCAATGATTTATAAAAAGACGCAATGTTGCACCTGTCTCTTATACACATCTAGATGTGTATAAGAGACAGAATTTACACAATACAGTGATGGTTAATAGCTAATCCGCTTTACATTTTTGTTCCTGGATATGTATTTCATCGTAAATGATTAAAATTTGGCTATATATTTCTCAAATTATTTTTTAAAGTCCATTTTTAATGTTCTTTTTACGACTGTCTTTTTACAAATTTGGCAGCCATATGCCTCGGAGGATATAGGCACACGGATGTAATTACACGCATGCGCGAAATTTGGTGAAATCCACAATACACAAGTTTTTAGCTGTAGCCATTTTGTTCTCGCTGATTTTATAGTTCCAATTTTTTAGTTTCCAATTTTAATAATTCCAATTAATTAATTGATGTTGATGACTGCTGCTTACTCAAGTATGCTGATGACAGTGTCATCATTGGATCCATTAAGGATAATAATGAGCAAAAGTACAGACAGTCCATTAATGAATTTGTCACATGGTGTATAAACAATAATCTTACTTTAAATACAGATAAAACTAAGGAGATCATATTTGATTTTCGACGCAGTAAAACCAGAGTACCAAATGCTCTCACGATCAAAACATTGAAATTGTGAACGAATTTAAGTACCTGGGCGTTGTCATTGATAAAACATTAAACTGGGAAGCAAACACTTTATCAATTACAAAAAGAGCTAGTCAAAGGATGTTTTTCCTAAGAAAACTAAAAACATTCAATATTAGCTGTGAAATTTTAAATCTTTTCTTCAAAAGTGTAATTAGAAGTGTTCTGCTCTTTGGTTCCATTGTTTGGTTTTCAAATCTTACACAAGCTGAAAAAAATAAATTATTTAAAATAGTAAATTGGGCCAGCAAAATTACTGGGGAAAATCCTGAAAATTTGGATGAGTTACATGAAATGGACATACTCCGCACAGTTAAAAAAAATCTGCGAGAATCCTGATCACCCATTAAATAAGTACTATAAGCAAAGCCGAACTGGCAGACTAATCACCTTAAATCAAAACACTAAACGTTGTAGACAATCTTTTGTTCATAATTCCATTCATGTCTTCAATAAACATTTCAGTAGATAGTCATTTCTGGAAATATTGCTGTCTCTTATTGGTGGGTGGGGACTTTTCAGGAGATATGGAGACTCACTGTGATCCACCGACAGACAGTTAGCTGTTTTCTGTCTCTGTGACTACCAGGCTATTTTTTAGTTTCTGGCTGTTTTTGCAGATTCAGGGCAGCGCTGTCCCCTATTCCTGTAGCCGGAGGGTCATGGTGATATCTTTCCTGATCCTGACTCCACACCCACCAATAAGATTCAATAAGATTAATTAAGATTCAATAAATTCAATATGATTCATTAGATTTAAGTTATTTGAATATGTCTCTTTGGGGTTCTTTGTTAGTTTACTTTTTTCTTTATTCCTCTCTGAAATTGTACCTTGATCAATCACTTGAATTTCATTTGTACCCTGTTGTTCAAATGACAATAAAGAATATCGTATCGTATCGTATCGTATCGTTATGTAAATATTAACGCATTCTTGTCATTAGCCATGTTCTCTGGACAATTATCATTTCTGACCACCATTCGTCCTTATATAATCTCTTTTTCATTCACAAAGTGCCTCTTGAATTTAATAATTTCCCATAAGAACACCTCGATTTTCATTTATTTCCATAAGCGCCCCCTAAATTTCCACTCTGTTTTCATAAGCGCCCCGTTTAAATAAGCGCCCCGTTTGAATAAGCGCCCCTCAGAAAGTGCAAAAAAATATTTTAAGCGCCCGGGCGCTTATTCGCGCGAGTACGGTATATATGTATATGATGTTTTCAATTTTGTTGTTTTTCTTTTTTGGTCTGAGATGGCATTTCCTCAACATCTTCTTCCTCGTTGTCCTTTATTCTACCCATTTATTAAAAGTTTTTATATTATTATCTTTCTTGGGAAAGAGGAAAAACGATACTTTTGGGTGACTTATTTGCGTTCTATTGAAGCCCAAATACACAACAACCGTTCGGCATTCTGGTTTGTTTACGTGTCGTCGGCGATTATCGTGTCAAGTGCAATTTGATTGACGAATCACAAATCACTTACAGTCGGGAATATAACGCGGTTGTTTCAAATTATCTGAACGATCGCAGTGGGTTTAGGATGCGTATGAAAACAAAAATGGCGTATCGACATATCGGCCATTTTTCGGAGAAATTACTTTACAAATGTTTTTATTAATTTCTCAAATTCAACAAATTATTCAAGGTTAGTATTTTGTGACTGGTTTATTGACTACCCAAGGATTCCAAAACATTCATTCATTGGATTTTTGAAAATGGTTTCATATCCATTTTAAGCAAAAATCGGTCCGGCATCTATTTAGTAGTTATAACCTGTATTTTATATTTAGCGTTGTTAGCCTCTTGTTTATATTGGTTTTTAACCAAATGATAGATAAATATTTTATCTCTTTCTGTATAACATTTTGTGTGCAATTGAATTCAAGCCGGTTTTTCACTAGGCGAATTTATTCGCGCGAATCGAAAGCGTCAGTTCATGCGCATACATATTCACATTCTTATTGGAGTTTTTTGCGAAGCGAAAAAATGCGCAACCAATCAGAGCTCAGGAAGCGAACCGACGCTTTGATTCGCGCGAATAAATTCGCCTAGTGGAAAACCAGCTTTACAGCCACAAAAATTAGTATGTTATTTTCGCTTTTCGCGCCCAGTAAAATCTTTGGTGTAAAGCCGGTTTTCCTCGTGTACATGAGCCGCCGCTTTCCATTCGCGCGAATAAATTCGCCAAGTGAAAAATAGGCTTAAAAGTTAGAAAACAAGTAAAACGATATTATCGTAAATCGTGTTGGTCCGCTGTAGTTCATTTTTTCCTTGTTTTGTTTTGGTTGTTTATGACGCCGCTACAAAATACATGAGCAAATTATTTAAAAGAAATGATAGACCCTTTTATTTTCATGTAATAGAACAACTATTGTATGACCCAATACCCCACACAATAATATGGAATATTTAAAACTAATAAATCAGACTTGTGTTTCATTTAAGGCCCAAACCTATGTAGAATATAGAGAGAATTTGGCCAACTCGGTTTTACGGGATTCTGCTATACGCGCGTGTGATTGGGTGGCGCAATCACATGACTTACACCGGCCATGTTGTCACCAAAACAAAACATTGGCGAGCCACAAACTAACGCGATAGGATATATTAAAATCCCATAATTGAATTGTCCTCATGAACAGAATAAATAAAAGAAAGTTTATGCAACATCAGTGTTATAAAGCTAATACGCGCGCACGCTGTCTGGTACAACATGGCGCCATGCGCCAAAAAAAAAAACTCTCTATCTCTACGGCCGGCTCTCTGTGCTACCCATAGAGCTATTAAACAACTAGAGTGCTGACAAGATGGCGCAGCAATGCAGAGTTATGTATGCGTACCATCCAAGATGGCCGTCGTAGTAAGGCGCCACCTTCAGGCTTAGTATACATATTATTACATATTAATAAGCCCTCTGACTGACTATTATTTCATTAATGATAATGAGTAATGGTAATAACAAATTATTAAACTATTGTAGCCAAAACGAGGCAAGTGGAGCATCTTATTCAAAAATAAGTACCAAGGAATGAAAATTAAAATCGTATACCAAAACACCGCAACGCTCGAGTTTCAAACATACGGGTAACTAGCTGTACTGAACTTTCTGAGTAAATTGAGGGCGCAATTGCAAATGACGGTGCTTAGCGAAATTTAATTGGCTAAATCTATGGCAGCCATCTTGGATCCCC